CTTCTTGATGTTGTAGATGCGCGTGAGCATCCCGATGCCGCGGTCGTTGAGGATCGTCAGTTTCTCCGCCAGCTTCTGCTGGCTCGGCTGCAGCGCGCCCCGAGACATGGCTCAAACGACCGTTAAAACGAGCTGAATCACAACCCAACGAGTACCTCGTGTAGTGTTAAAGGGTAAGGTGCCAAAACGAGTAGATTTTTAGTGTTAAAATTCGCCCATATTACGGGCTTGAGGCGCGTCGTCGGGGACGTGTTGTTTTTCTAGGTGTTGCCCTGACGGCCAGAACGAGGCTGCTTCCGGTAACGACGTCATTGCGTCATGTGACCAGAGGGCCTCCGCCCCCCTCGTGCTGTTGTTGAAAAGATGTGATTGATTTTGAAGCTTACGATTTCATTTGGTGAATTTCATACACATAAAAAGCGTTTTCCAATATTTTCACAACTTTTTTTCTATTTAAATTGATTTTGTTTAGATAAGAAATCGAGATTAGTTATATGTTAAAGAGTTGAATAATTGAAGATTAGCAGATCAGTCATTCTTGAGAAGTGGGACAAAACGGTGCAAAATTGAAAAAATAAAACCTTGTACTCAGACAAATGAAACTACATTTATGTATCGTATATGTACTAAGCTACTGAGCTATGCTTTGATACAACCTCCCAACTTTTCTCTTTTTTAACAAAATGTGCTTTTTTAGCTTGGACTGTGTAATATAATCTCAACTTTATCTTTAACAGCATTCAAGATGTTTTTAACATTTCAAAACACATTCTCGTGTTAGCAGACAGATTACACTTTCACACATGACCAACAATTCCACAACAAATATAAAATATCACAATGAAATATTATCAAAATATTCAACTGACGGAGTTGACACATCTGACGGTGGTGACGAAAACCTGAAATTGTAGTAATTTGAACTTTTATTATAACTTTTTAATTTAAATTTTTATCAAATACATTGAATCAGTCAATTACTGTATTAAAACAAACAGTGAGTATGTTATTGTTTATAAAGCTTTTATTCAAATAATTTCCTCAGAAATTGGAAGATGGTGTTGACGTATCATGGCTGTGACAAAGGAAACATTAACATTAGGATTTAAAATGTTCTAAAACTATCAAATTTAGCAGAGCCTGTCTGACACTGATGTACTCTGCAGAGGTGAACTGTGGCGAGGGGGTTCTTTAGAGTGACCGCTGATATTCCCTGATTTTATTACATTTTATTGAATGTCTGACGGTGTTGACAAAAAGTGGGGACGCAACTTTAAAATCTTATGAAACATGCATGTGTCATTAAAAAAACAACCTTGCTTTGATAGGAGATATTATTAAGTATTGCTTAATTAAAAATGCTAAACATTTTTATCCATTTTATTGCATATGAATGCTTGAACCCTTCTCTGTGGACACACTGTTTTAGATGTAGTGAGAGGACATTAAGAAACACAGATTAGGTATAATAATGAGAAAATGAAATTGAAGGTGATAATTGTGCTAAATACATTCTATTATTAATACCTCATGACGTTTAAAATTTAAAATATTTTTATTTTTTAAAGCTAATAGCAGTTACCCTTGCTGGACCCGTTTTGTCCCACGTCTCAAGAATGATTGAAATGCGTAATTTCATAAGTAATGAAAGAAAACAAAGATTTTCGAACCAATTGCTTCGCAAAATGATTCAATTTCGAAACCCTCGAAACATCGCAAAACCTGCTGATCACAATCGTGTAAAAGCAACGTCAACAGCCCAAATGTGCATAAGAAATGTTTTATGAAAGTGTAATACAAGTTTATACATTTGGAGTGCTTGTTTAATGTCAAAGTCTATAGTCTTAAAGAAGTCTTCATAAAAAGTTTAAAATCCCTGCTGAAAAAACATCTAAAGCTAGCATAAGCTGGTTGGCTGGTTTTAGCTGGTTTAAGCTGGAAGTAACTGGTTTTAGCTGGTCTCCCAGCCTGGCCAAGCTGGTTTTAGCTGGTTGGCCAGCTGGTCTTCCAGCCTGACCAGCTAAGACCAGCCAAACCAGCTAAAGAAGTGGCCAAAACCCCTCTAACCAGCCTGCTGAGAAGCTATGACCAGGCTGGAGACCAGCTAAAACCAGCCAACCATTTATTGAAAATAGAAATCTTTTGTAAAAATATACACTACTGTTCAAAAGTTTGGGGTCAGTAATTTTTTTCTTTGTTTCTTTGTTTCTTTTCTTTTCTCTTTTTCTTGAGTGCTTTTATTCTGCAAGGATGTGTTAAATAGATTAAAAAAAAAGTGATAATAAAGACTTATATTGGTAGAAAAGATTTGTATTTTAAATAAATGCTGTTATTTTAAACTTTATTCATCAAATAATCCTGAAAAAAGTATCACAGGTTCAAAAACAATATTAAGCAACCCAACTGTTTCCAACATTGATAATAAATCAGCATATTAGAATAATTTTTGAAGGATCATGTGACACTGAAGACTGGAGTAGGGCTAATGATGCAGAAAAATCAGCATTGCATCACAGAAATAAATTATATTTTAGGCTATAGTATATTAAAATAGAAAAGTATTATTTTAAATGGTAATAATATTTTACAATATTACTGTTTTTTCTGTATTTTTGGTCAAATAAATGCAGCCATGATGAACAGAAGAGACTTTTTAAAAACACATTAAAAGTCTTAGGCCTACTAACTGTGCTCCACCAAAGACCATTTGGTTTGGCGAGACGAACGTCAACCGATTGCACCCAGAAAATTACTGCCCTCAGTGCCCTGAAAATAATGATATAATTTTAAAGGGGTCCTATTATGCTCTTTTACAAAGTCTTGATTTTGTTTTGGGGGTGTACTAGAACAGGCTTTCATACTAGGTTGTTCGTGGTTAGCTGGGCCAGTGTGTGTTGTGATTGGCAGCACTCGGCGCCTGGTCGGGAAATGTCACGCCCCTTACCATAGCCACCTGCTGCTTCAGTGTAAATATTGCGTCAATATAAAATCAATTTGTGCGCTATTTAAACCCGGATGATTGTAAGCACTCTAAGTTCGTCTGCCTTGGGAAAGCTAGCCTGTCTCCGACATAGTGATAACACTCGCTGCCTTCTCTAGTGCAGCTCAACCAGGTCTCGTCCCATTCGTCGATATTTGTGACATCACAAATCCCGGAAAATATGCGTTGTAGTCCAAACGAGTCGTTTGTTGTAGTTTTTGAAAAGTGATTTCTGTTGAATAAAATATCTCCTTTTGAAGTGGACTTTGGGCTTTGTAACTTTGCAGATCTTTTTTATGCTCAAACAGCAACATTACAGACTAACTAAAGTTGAAAAAGTGAAAAAGCATAATAGGAACAGGTTCATATGCAGTTATATTTCTCTCCTTTGGGGGTCACTATTGTTTTGATCTTCCCGATCCCAGGTATACGGTGGCCGTAAAGTGCAAAGCAAATCACAATTCTGAAAACAAACAAGTCTAAAAAACTAAATAACAAGTCAGAAAACACAATGACAAATTCGAAAACAAAATAACAAGAAAACTACAAACCGGAAAAGGTAGGTATAGTTTGAGACAGCGCCATTGGTTTGGGATTACTCACCGCTGACTGGACGAGACATCTGTCAATCAACGTATACAGAGAAGAACCAGCCGAAGAACAGCAGAGTCGTGGTAGAAAGTTCGGAGATGGTACTAAAGTAGCTCAGTTAAAATATATTGTATGAATTGCCTTTACTCTGGAATAAAAAATACGGAGTGTATATTTAGATTTAGTTAAAAGTGGTTGTAGAATATCAGTTCAAGTGGCGCAGATGGATAAGCACTTGTCCTTGGCTTATTGATGCGATTGACCCGGGTTCTATACCACCTTTTGCCGAGTTTTTTTCCCCTCCCTTTTCAAATCTCGTATTAGCAATGGATTCTATTTACACTAAGTGAAAATAGCAGTATTTATAGCAATATGCTATTTACACTAAGTGCAAATACCTAGTTACACTATGTTAAAATAGCAGGATTTCTACTATCAAGTATACTACTTGTTGCAAATAGTGGCAATTATCTGCACTTCAGTATTGTAGTACATTATAAAACAGTATGCAATAATAACGTATTGAGTGTAAATTATAATTTTAATTTAAATTATTAAATGGATGCCACCTTATTGGTACAATAAAGCCCTCCCTACACCTACCCTAACCCTACCCCATACTTTATTTTCAACTTTTTGATTATTTCCCTAATTTTCGTTGAAAATAAATGCCTTTATGATGTGATACGAGATTTGAAAAGGGAGGGGAAAAAAGTGGGATCGAACCCGGGTCGATCGCGTCAAAAAGCCAAGGGCAAGCACTTATCCATCTACACTACTGGAACTGATACTCTACAGCAACTTTTAACTAAATCTAAATATACACTCCGTATTTTTTATATTAAAGGCATGTTTTCAGAATTGTGATTTGTTCTGCACTTCTCGGTCACCGTACAGGTAATTATGCTGAGGTGCGCTAATGAATCTTCTCAGTTTTCAGGTAGTATCGAGGTCACAGAAATGTAGACGGGCATTAGACTACTAGTGAGGGAGCAACGAACGGTCTCACAGCACTAACTTAAATTCGGTCCTTTACATTTCTGCCTTGGACATCTCCACCGCAAATGTGATGCAGTCGCTCGCACAAGAAATAAAATCCTTCTCCAAAGCTAATTTGCGGAAACAATGCACCAGAGTAACGACTTTGAGCGGCAGGCGGATTATTGAGACATGGAAAGGTTCCACTGTACAGGTGGTTGAGGAAACAGTACAGCCTGAAACTGCATGTGGATATATTCAGGATAATAACTGGGACCTTCAGGTTGGATGTATTAAACCATATCTATTACTTGGTGAGTAGTTGATCTTCTCATTTAAAGTGCAAAAGTATATGTAATAAACTCTCAGAATGGGCTGATTGCTAATTTGGAATCGACATTTGAATCTTTATAAAATGTTTAAAAATATGTATGTAATTATAGAATTATATTTTACAAATAATTTTATTTATCATTTTTGTTGTATATTGAATATGTATGCATTAAATAAAATGTATGTTTATCTAAGTGTATCTAAAGTAAAATTCTAAATAAAAATAAAATACAAATGGTACACTCTAAAAAAATGCTGGGTTGTTTCAACCCAATGTTGGGTCAAATATGGACTAACCCAACTGTTGGGTTAAAAAGCTAATTTAAAAATGTAACCAAAATTTAACCCAACAGTTGGGTTAGTCCATATTTGACCCAACATTGGGTTGAAACAACCCAGCATTTTTTAGAGTGTATAAACACTATTATAAATTATTCTATATAAATTTTTATATATTGTAATAATACATTTGTATTTTTAAAAACCTCTGTAATTTAATGTATTATTATTATGATTGCTATTATTATTATTATTATTATTGCTGTTATTTTTTTAGTTGTGTGGTATATGTTATATGTGTCTGATATTGATTGCTGGCTGTGGTATTAGAGTCTAAGACAAATTTCCAAAAAATAGGACAATATTATTCTATTCTATTCTATTGTAATAAGAATTAATTTGAATTATGTTTATTTCAAAGGGTCACAAGATGCCGCTCATGACTTTGGTACTTTGAGGAAATATAAGGTGAGTTTATTATTATAGTATTTTATCATAAAATAACTTTCTTTTAAGACTAATAATGTGTTTCCATTGATTTCAGGTCACTCATATATTAAATGTTGCATATGGTGTGGAAAATGCCTTTCCTGACCTGTTCATCTATAAAACACTGAGCATACTGGATCTACCTGACACTGATATCATATCATATATCGAGGAGTGTGCACAATTTATCGACCTGGCTAAAGCTGAGGTAACATTTGCCTTTTGTATCATGGCGTATTCATGATTACGTTTGGTTAATATCATGTGATTTCCAAGAAGGTTTTTGCACAAATCTTGCATTTTTGCATATTGTAATACCAGTGTACAGAGGTCTGGCCGCATTATAAGAGGAATATTTCATTCTCTCTGTCTAATTTCCTGAGTGTTGGGCATTAGCGCCTGGCCTATGTGATACCGCACGGTCATCCAATGGCTAATTCCGTTATTCTAGGTAACCGTGTGGCATGCTGAATAATGAATGCTGAGTTTTCACAATGCATTATTTAGCGAGTTGTAGAAAGATCATATCACTAACGGGCCATTGTTTGTCATACAACCTCTTTACTAAATAGTGTCGCCAGTCACCCTTAACCTGACACTGCCTCATGATTCAAATTCACTAAGGTTTATGATTACAATGGCTGCTGGAAATAAGTTTCCATTCCTTTGTAAAACGAACATAGCGCCTCCTGTCACCTAATTTACTGTCGTCTATGATGCAAAGGGAAACAACAGCTCAGTTAATGAAATAATGTTCCTCTCAACTAGTCAGAAAGTGGTTCTCTCACCCGTAACTTGCAATTTTGTAATTCCTTGCAATTAGCATAGGATTAATTACATGCTTTATAATGGAGTATGTAATGATGTCAAATTAAATGCCCCCATGGAGGGATTCCAGTAGCTTCTGGAAACAATTTATTTTCTTGCTGTCTGACTGAACAATTGGTTTCTCTCTGCAGAAAGGAGTTGTACTTGTCCACTGCAATTCTGGAGTTTCACGTTCTGTTTCGGTCGTCATTGGATATCTGATGTTGAAGGAAAATCAGCCATTTGGTGACACGTTTGCGCTGGTGAAATCAGCTCGTCCGGCCTCATGTCCAAATCCAGGTTTCATGGAACAGCTGAAAAACTTCAGACCACAAGATGCTACACAAGCAAACGGTTTGGGTCATGACTGAACATTATTCTACAGCTGCATCCGTTCAATTTCAAAGGGATAGTTCCCCCCAAAATTAAAACTCTGTCATCATTTCCCTGCTTAATACCTTTTTAAAGCTTTGTTTTTTTCCACTGAACACAAATGGTGAAATGTTCAAGCTGCTCTTTTCCTTACAGTAAAAGTGAATGGGGACCATGCCTGTCAAATTAGATTTTTGAGTAATTTTTGAGGTGGTCTATTCCTCACACTAAGCTTAGAATTCACAAAAAAACAATATTGGTTTGGAATGAGATGAAGGTGAGTAAATAAAGACAGAATTTTAATTTTTTTTGATGAACTGCCCTTTTAAAGCCACAAGTGCTTCCATCGCATTTCATATACAGTATGGCTTTGATTTGACACTTTCGAATTGTCTTATAGGTGCTAATATGACAAAAAGAAACATGGCTGCCGTTCAGTTGGAATTTGAATTGAACTGGCTTCACAGGATGTTGAACTGGAATTTGAATCGAAATGACAGGAAGATGAATTTACTGAATTGCAGTACAAAGAAATTCACCATCACAGAAGAGATGAAGTACATTAGTTCCCATTCTCAGCGTATTCAATTAAATGAGTAATTTATTTGTTCAATTCAATTACTATTCTCATCCTGTGTGCTACTTCCATTTAATTTTAGGAATTTAGATTCAAAAGTCATTCACATCCATACACTCATTTCATAATAAATTAAATCTTAAAATGTATCATGCAGTTATTTTCCCATTCTGTTATGATCAGCAGGCATTTAGAATCAACTTTCCAGATAGTGACATCTTGTGGTCAACACTCACATTTAGCCTTTTCGTTTTTCTGAAAAAATGATTTGATCCAAATTCATTTATTATCATTATTATTATTTTTTAAATAAAGACTGGTTTCTTATACTCAGTAACTTCGATAGCAGCTCATTTTGTCCTCACTTAACATCCTTGACCCGCATCTGGGATGTTAATCTATAATTGTGCAATATAGTAACTTAAATATAAACCAAAAGAGAAGAAATAGATGAATAAGTATTTCAGTGACATCAAATCTTAGATCATGTTCTTATGTAATTTTGTAATTTTAATTACATATTTTGACGTTTTTGTGCATAGATTGCATGGTAATATAGTGATTTTTTTTAGATTCTTGTATAATCCTGACTTTCACTGTTGTGGTTTGTTTTTCTGAAGGTAGAAAATTGTCATTAAATGCTTGTGAGGATGTTTGACATGAAATTTAATTCGATTTTTTTTAGAACTTCTGGGATTAGCTGTGTGGTGTAGACTGAGCCTTGACTTTAAAGTATGGATGTGTGAAATGGATTGTATTGAATAAAATGTGTACATATATGCAAAAAAAAAAAGAGCTACTTTACCTATCTGTGTATTTGTATAAACTATGTGTTTGACAATGCATTTAACTAGATCAAATTAAATTTGTTCAGTCTATAAACATACACTGGCCCTAGGGCTGGGCAAAAAAAAAAATTATGTTTACTGTTCATTGTCTAGAAATATCAATAGCATTTGTATTAAAACTATATTCACTGAATGTAATTAAAAAAAATCGAGAATCGAATCGAATCGAGTGCTTGCGTATCGAAATCGAATCGAATCGGGACATCTGAATCGATACCTAGCCCTAACTGGCCCCATAAATAACATTATCCCACCTTATTTTCCATACCATATTGAGAGAAAGTTTCTAACAGTTCTCTTCTGGCCAGAAGAAACCAGCATGGCAGGGTTTAATTCCAGGCTGCAACACAGGTCAGATAAAGAGACAAACCACTTTCGTGACGCTCTACATAAATCTGCTCAATATATATTGTTTGGGACGGTGTTTTTATAAAACGGCGCCACTGGTCAGAATAGGCAGGGTTATAGCGCCCCCTGTGTATCTAATATAAATGACACCCTCGAGGTCGCGCACGTCCGCCAATGGCGCTTTTAACTGGACTGCCTACATTAGGATGTTATGGTGGAACTAAGATGACTTATCTCGAAAACACAGGGAAACTCTAAATTGTCGTCACTTCAACTCTGTCTTCCATGTTGTTGATAAAGTCGGGGATTTGCTTTTCCACATGGGCACGTTCTCATCCAAGCTCTCCAGGAGAAACATTGTGACCGTGAAGCCCAAAGAGTCCGAAGACGGCAGAACGAACCGGGACCTGACCGAGAGCCAGACTCGGGTCATTAAAAATGCAGTTCAGAGGGTCAGCCGGGAAGTTCAGAGGGCGTCTGTCATCACCGAGGGAGGCAAGTGATGAGAGTTTCACAGCTGTTTTCAACACTGTCCGTACTGAGGAAAAGTTTGGCACGGTCACTGATGGGCAGTGTTGGGGAAAGTTACTTTTAAAAGTAATGCATTACAATATTGCGTTACTCTATAAAAAAGTAACTAATTACGTTACTTAGTTACTTTTTATGGAAAGTAATGCGTTACATTACTTTTGCGTTACTTTTAAAATTTGGACAGCGCTTGCTTGTTTCTTTTTAAAATAAAAAGTTCTATTTTTGGCAAATATAAAAGCCTTTTCACACCAAAAGTGAAATGAATAAGCCTCAGGCTGAAGGAAATATAAATTTACGTCCGTACAGTAGACTGCAGAAGAAGAGATTTCAACACTTCAGCAATAAAAAAAGACTAGAGTCATTTTTCCTTAGTACGGTTGAACTGGATCATCGAAGGTCAGAAGCAAAGACATTGGTTAATAGAATGGGATTAAATACATAAAGGATATTTGTGTTGTTTAACATTAATTATTGAAGGTTTGCGTCATATTCTGAGTTGCATTTTTTTATTCATTTTGAGGAATACTGAATCTGTTTTTTTTTTTGTGAGTGAGATGAATTAATGCATATTCATATTTATTTTTGAACTACAGTAACATCTGATTTCTCTCAACATGGGGACAGGAGAGCTATCAATCAATACATTGGAAAAAAAAGTAACTTGCGTTACTTATTTGAAAAAGTAACTCAGATATTCTCTTGTAAATTAAAAAGTAATGCGTTACTTTACTAGTTACTTGGAAAAAGTAATCTGATTACGTAACTCGCGGTACTTGTAATGCGTTACCCCCAACACTGCTGATGGGTTTATTAACTTTCAAGGTAAAAGGTAAAATTATATCAGACATTTGGTTACAGCTTAATGTTAGCGCAGTTATATCAAAGCTATGGTTTTATATCAAAGAATTCACAATTCATTGCACGGGATTGGTTAGGGTGCGAATTATGATTTGAATCTCGATAAAGGAGGTTAAAATAATGTATTGTTTTTACACACAACAGTATACTTTACAGTAGCGTCTTTAAACCACTAAATAAACATAAAAGTTCGACAAACTACTAGGGACTGCCCTACTGTAATAATTTATTATTCTATTGTAGTTGTAAACAACATAAAAATATAACAAAAACTACTAGTGGTTTATTTAAAAAACGTCTTTTAGGGTTAGCAAACTGTGCTCGATATTTTTGGTTACACAGAACGAACCTATCGGACTTCAGCTAATTTAATGACAGGAAAATGAATGACAGGAATGCATTTAAAACGTTGACCCCTCTGAAACCTAATGAACAAACATAATACTTAATACATAATGCTATGAAACTCAGGTAGGACTTTTATTTAGATATTCACCAGGGATTTGTTCAGCAAAAGCTAGATTCAGTATTTCCAATGTTATCCGGTCCAAGCACGTTTGTAGAAAACATGACCAAAGCAATCAAATTTGAAAGAATATCTTTTGTTCCGTTGGAAATTTATGAGTGGAATTAAGAGTTGACCCCTTTAAAACTCACTGAATAAACATCATTCCTATGTGTTTTTTTTTAGATATTATAAGCACATTTTCCTTTATACCACATATTCATTCACCAGGGATTTCTTCAGCAAAAGCTGGATTCAGTATATTTACAGTGTTATTTGGTTCAAGCACATTTGTAAACAATGTAACCAAAATAGTCCAATCTGAAAGAATATCCAGTGGATGCACTGGCTTCAGTGGGCATTTTATGGGCAAAATTTGACATAGTGTACAGTTGGTCAATTACTCATTAATGGCCACACCCAAAAATTGAATTGCCTTTTTTTTTTTTTAGCAAAATCATTTTCAAATCAAAATTAGTCTTTAGATAATACACATTAAAAAGCTTAGAAAGAGTTCAAAAATGAACATTTTAAATGGTTGATTTTATGGAGGGAGTGTTTAAAGAGATGCTGTGTCAAATCCATTTTTAAATAAAAATCCAGCTCTAAAATATAGAGCAATTTATTGTTGTTTAACAAGTTGATTGTTTTGTAAAAGGTTACAGACAAATGTACTCAAACATCATGTTAAACCGGCTTCATATGTGGCCACATGCATGGGCTACACACGCAAAACACTAGGTGAGCAATATGAATATTAATGCACTTCCAAGAATGACATGACAGTATTTCACTGCTATCTTTGTCATGGCAACCCCTGTACAGTATTAAATAGAGTGTCATCGGAGATCCTGTCTTTTTAGAGAATGCATTATAACGATTTGAATCTTACTATTTTATTTCAAGCCTCTTGGACGTAAAGGGGTTGAGTGGGCAGAACAAAGACGGTAGAATTCATTACGAGGCCTCTCTGCGTCCTCAATTGGGATGCTGCAGATTGGGGGCTAATTTGCTCGCTGTTGTTTTGGTTGCCAACTGTGCTGGATGGCTGTGAGGAAAGCAATTAAAGATTTTGTGGTAAAGCCAAATGAAGAGCAATTAAGAGGAATGAATTCAGCCTCTTTATTTCACAATCACACTGAAGAGCTGTTGGTGGTTAGATTAGCATAAGTACTGTCAGCGTGCTTTGTTCCCAGTGTTTTTCCACCCTTTGACCATAGTAACTTCCATAAAAATTTTTACTGTTAGCTAACAAAAAGTATATTCAAATTCAGTATGTCACATCTTGTTCTTAAAGGAATAGTTCACCCCAAAATGAAAATTCTCTGAAAA